CCCCCAAACAGCCCCTGCTGCCCCCAAACAGCCCCTGCTGCCCCCCAACAGCCCCCAAACATCCCCCTGCTGCCCCCAAACATCCCCCTGCTGCCTCCAAACATCCCCCTGCTGCCCCCAAACAGCCCCTGCTGGGGCAGTGCAGGAGCTGCTCCCAGGGCTGGAGGTTCAGGAACTGCTCCCAGGAGGTGCAGGAGCTGCTCCCAGGGGGGGCCAGGCTGTGGTGCCAGAGCCCAGGGCTTGGGGGGCACTTTGTGCAGGTCCCAGCAGGAGCCAGGGCTGAGCTCCCTGCAGGGATGAAGGTCCCAGGGAGCAGAGCACCCAGAGCTGAGCCTGCCCGGGGCTGCAGCAGCAGGAGGGGAAGGGGATGAGCAGGAGGGGGCAGGTTTTGCTTCTTGGCTCAGCTCAGCCACGTCTGGTGCTCAGAGCAAGAGTTTCCAGAGCAAGAGCCACCAAGGGGGCTCGTGAGTGACAGCAAAGAGAGGAGCAGCCCCAGGAGCCCTCGTGCTCAGACCCATCCAGCCTGGCCTGGGGAGAGGAGGCTCTGGGGAGGGACAGTTTGCAAGGGCCTGGGGGAGCAGGGGGGTGGCTTCAAGCTGGGAGAGGGAGCTGGAGGTTGGACATGAGAAATACTTTCCTTTGAAGCTGGGGAGCCCCTGGGCCAGGTTGCCCAGGGAAGCTGTGGCTGCCCCATCCCTGGGGGTGTTGAAGGGCAGGTTGGATGGGGCTTGGAGCAGCCTGGGCTGCTGGGAGGTGTCCCTGCCCATGCAGGGGGGCACTGGGTGGGCTTTGAGGTCCTTTCCCAGCCAAACCAATAGGGGTTCCATGGTTCCTGTGGGCACTGCACTGGGTTGATGCAAAGTGCCCTGCCAGGCTCCAGCTCCAGGGCCCTGAGCAACACAAAGTGGTTCCTCTTCCCTCCTGCTCTCCAGGCTCCCTTGGGGGATCCCTTGGCCTGGTGTTTGGTGTCTGAAACACCAGCAGGACCTTCTGTCCTGCAGCCAAGGGTCCAGCTGAGGAGCAGCAGCATCTGCAGCTGCTTCAGAGGGAGGTGTGGGGATTAACCCCAGTCCTGAGGAGCAGGGGCAGGAGCTGCTGCTGGGGGAGGTTTTGGGGCAGGGAATCCTGCTGTGGAGCTGCTGCTCCATCCCCCCCCTCCTGCTCCCAGTTCAAGAGGAAGTTCTGCCCTCATTTCCAGTTTAAGCCTCTCGTGGCTTCCTAGTCTTGGTGGGTTTTTTAACAGCCCATTATGAGTGTGAGAGGGGATGAATAAATTGTGGAGGAGCCCCCGGGGGCAGCAGAGGAAGCAGCAGCAGCAGCAGAGGAGCTGCCAGGGCCTGAGAGGGGCTTTTCACCTCATTTGTCACCTCCCAACAGTGGGGAAAGGACCTTTCCCTGCCCCAGCTGGAGCAGC